TCTTCTCTGTGGACACAGCAGAATTGCCATAAAATAAACAAACAACATCCACCGATAAGGAGCCAGAAGTTTCGACGCGTGTCTTCGTCAGTCCAACTTTTGTTTAATCATTGTGTATTTGCCAACTATAAAACATACTTTTCAACTATTTAGAGAACGGGAATTGTTTCTATTAGAAGGGCATAATCATCCCTTTATAAGAACTTAGAAAACCAGAAGAGGCATTTCGACGCGCGTCTTCGTCAGTCCAACTTTTGTTTGATCATTGTGTATTTGCCAACTATAAAACATACTTTTCAACTATTTAGAGAACGGGAATTGTTTCTATTAGAAGGGCATAATCATCCCTTTATAAGTACTTAGAAAATCAGAAGAGGCATTTCGACGCGTGTCTTCGTCAGTCCAACTTTTGTTTGATCATTGTGTATTTGCCAACTATAAAACATACTTTTCAACTATTTAGAGAACGGGAATTGTTTCTATTAGAAGGGCATAATCATCCCTTTATAAGTACTTAGAAAATCAGAAGAGGCATTTTATAACATTATATAAGAAGGAAGTGATAGTTTACAGTAGTATGAAATATTTATCGTTTTTAAATAGAAGGAATCTGTGGGGATTATACTTATAAAACAAAACGTTTGTGGCAGGAAATTAGAAGTTACGAGTTTTATAAACTTTAGGTTTAGTTATCTGTCGCTAAAAAGCACTTATCAAACTATACGTAAAAAAAAATAATAGTAAATGATAAACTATCTATCAAATATATACCTATTTTATTTGATATATGAAAATATTTCAACATTTTAAACTATTACTAGTTCATTATTTCTGTCACACCTGACTCATAGGGTGATTCTTGAATAACGTGCTTGAATTATGACGAATTATGACTGAGTCCCAACAAAAAGATTCAACTCTTGTTTACCTACTTTAAACTCAAACTCATTTTATTTATTTTGCTTTTGTTGCGTTTTTTTTTTTCGTGGTGTGCGTTCGAAGTTAGAACATTGACCCAACGCCGCCAAGCGGATTTTACGTCGAATTACCTACATTAGATTCCCGCTTACGACGGTCGAGATGAGCACGTTCTAACGATTCCATTTCCCTCAGTTATGTGAAGAGCAGTTTGGTCAAGGGAGAGAAGTTTCACGTTTCAACGAGTCAGGGTTTTCCATAATTAATAAAACTAAAATCAAGGGCAAATACCATTCTAAAAAATACAGCAAAATTTAGACAACAAGAAGATACAAATTCAGAACTAACGAGGATCTTATTTAGTGATTGAACAAACTATCGTCCTAGATAAACGGGATCCACCTGTTCCTTAACGTTATGGCTAGCCAGGAACAAAGAACCTCTAATACTGAGGAACAGAGAACTTACATTAGCCAGGAACAAAGAACCTCTAATACTGAGGAACAGAGAACTTCCATTAGCCAGGAAGAAAGAGCTTCTAATAGTCAGGATAAAAGAACTTCCAATACTGAGAAACAGGGAACTTCTGTTAGCCAGGAACAAAGAGCTTCTAATAGCCAGGATAAAAGAACTTCCATTAGCCAGGAACAAAGAGCTTCTAGTATTCAGGATAAAATAACTTCCACTACCCAGGAACAAAAAGCTTCTAATAGTCAGAATAAAAGAACTTCTACTAGCCAGGAACAAAGAGTTTCTAATAGTCAGGACCAGAGAACTTCTACTAGCCAGGAACAAAGAGCTTCTAATAGTCAGGATAAAAGAACTTCCATTAGCCTGGAACAAAGAGCTTCTAATTATCAGGATAAGAAAGCTTCCAATGGACACACAAGCCAATGTCCTGCTGTGGTTCCTGAAGTGGTGTGTACTAAGTTTATTCTTTAAAATTCTAGAAACAAATGTTGTGTATAATAGTTATTTTAAACGTTGAGAAATAAGGAAGCTTACAGTAGTAGAGCATAATTATATATTTTTAAATAATGAAAAATAGGAAGAATATTCTATAGCATCAGAGCATGATGGCAATCTTTAATTGGCACGAAGGGAAATGTGCTATTTCTAGATGGAAAGAAAAACGGAATTTAATGCATGTTGGCAACAGGGTATAGTGTAATGCAGTTAACGTGTTTGAAAAAATATATTCAATAGGTAAGCACCATAAGAGTAAAGTAGTTAACGTAAACACTAGATAACTAGTGATTATTAACACTATAACTTATATAAAACGGCTAAAACTAAACACGTGTGGAGTAGTTAAGGAAATAAGACTCAGGAATAAATCTGACGATAGATTAAATATTACTTACAAACAATAAATAGCATCAAATTAAATTAAATTTTACATATATTGTTACACATTCAAGTCCAATCGCAAAATAGTGCCCCCCTCCAGTGGCACAGCGGTATGCCTGCGGAATTACAACGCTAGAATCCGGGTTTCGATACCCGTGGTGGACAGAGCACAGATAACCTATTGTGTAGTTTTGTGCTTGATTACAAACAGTCAAACAACGCAAAATAGTAAAGAAAATATTTGTAAAATGTTAAACGAATTTGGAACCTGCTCAGAACAAACTAACAATTTGTGTTAACGCAAAGGTACACAATAAGCTATCTGCACTCTGTCCCCACAGGGAATCTAGCCCATAATTTTAGCATTGTAAATCCTTAAACTTACAAACAGTCTTTATACACGATAGCAGAAAATTAAAGAAAGATAAATAAAACATTTCAACTTTAACTAACAAAACTTTAGCCCCCCCTGGTTGTTTTTTACGAATTATATTTGTATTTTTATACCTGCATTTGCATATTATTGATGATAATAAAGAAAACCTAATTATACGCTATAGGCGTAGCGATAACTTTAAATAAGCACGAATTTAAAAATAAAATGGAACCCAAAACTCGAACGCTTTCCAATAGCGCTTTCTTCTTCAGGAGGACCTTTATTCTCTCGAAGAAGAATAGTCAACTATTCGAAAGCTCTCGAGTTATGGGTCTTTTTTTTAATTCATTGCACCTCTTATTGCAGGTCGAGCGCCTTAATCACCTGGCGGGAAGTAATAGTAAACATCTAGAATAATATTCCACAATCGTTTGTTTGTCTGTAATTAAGCATAAAGCTACACAATGGGCCATCTGTGCTCTGCCAACCACGGGTATCGAAAGCCGGTTTCTATCGTACGTTGATAAAACATCATGAAAACAACGTGTAAAGAAATAGGCTAACATACAAAGTATTAGTGCATTGTAAAACCCGCTATCGTATTATATGTGACAATATTTTGTGACAGAAATGTCTTTATCATCTAGTTGCCGTGACCCGTTGTTTGTGACTCCTGTATATTTTCCATAATTATTTCCATTACTGTATCTAAATGTGACTGCTTGTTCTGTAAATATTACCCTGCTTGGAAACGAAGATATAAACCAAAATGTCCGGTTTTGTTCCACGTGACGAGCCCAAAAGTATCGTTACTTTGGTTTTAGTTTGTTTTTTTTTAAACAAACATAGTAAGCTATAACTTCCATTGTCATGTCAGGTGTACATAGTATGATCGTTCAAAGTAAGCATTGTACCAATAAGAAAAAACAAACAGATTATTTAATCTGATGCATGAAGGCGCATTTATAAAAATTATTTCAAGAACTGGTAAGTAGATGTACCTCCGCAAGGTCCATAAAAGTGTTCTGTTTCAAGAGTAAATAAAACCAAAATTAAAAGTAATAGATATTTTTATTTCTTGCTTTTGAAGTTCATATGTCATGCTGTGTTGTAGCCTACGAAGTACATAATTCTTCTCGTAATTCATGGCACCCGCAAGTTTTATTGGCGACATGACAGTACAAATTGCAACGTTAAGAGTCTCTTATGTGACGTAATTTTAGTGACTACTGACGTACTGACAGACAACACACTACTGTATAGTGGTGCGAGTGGTTAAGACAGGAGACCCTTGGAGGCAGCCTTCAGCCCTAGCGGTGAAATAAATAAATACGCATTGTTAGTGGTGCAAGTGATTAAGACAGGTGATCCCTCGAGGCAGCCATCAGCCCCCTAGCGGTGAAATAAATCAAAACGTTTTTTTTTTTCTTCTTTCAATTAGTTGGACATAATTCAATGTTCGGTGCAGTTACAATTTATAGTATTGGTTTACTTGGTTATTCATAGAATATAGAAATCACAGAGTAATACTACAAATGAAGGTTTCTTAAAGTTACCGAGACCTTAACGGAAACAAGAGAATAAATTCGAGCACATTTCTGCCTGATACAGTTTACGAAACTGTTTAGTGGCCGTGTAAAAAAATCTAAACACACATCCCTCTAGTAATTGACATTCTAGACCTAGTTTAGTAAAGCAGTTAAACAAACAAGTAAATAATTGTGTTGGTAGTGTAGGCATAGCTTAATAAAGCAGTTAAACAAACAAGTAAATAATTTTGTTGGTAGTGTAGGCATAGCTTAATAAAGCAGTTAAACAAACAAGTAAATAATTTTGTTGGTAGTGTAGGCATAGCTTAATAAAGCAGTTAAACAAACAAGTAAATAATTTTGTTGGTAGTGTAGGCATAGCTTAATAAAGCAGTTAAATAAATAATGTTATAATTATTATTATTATAGTTATCCTCAACAAACAGCATATTCTAAAATTAGACAATTACTATCAACCAACAACATACCGTGAACACAAACAACTTCTTACAAAACAACAGCATACCTTGAAGGCAGTAACAGGCCTTACCAAACAACAATATGCCCCAACGGAATACCCTCAACTTACATAACACAGATTATCAAACAATACCATACACCAACAGATTACCCCCAACTTATATAACAGACTTTACCAAACAATACCATACCCAAACAGAATACCCTCAAAGTAAATAACAGTTCTTACCAAACAACAGCATACTTTGAAGGCAGTAACAGGCCTTACCAAACAACAATATGCCCCAACGGAATACCCTCAACTTACATAAAACAGATTATCAAACAATACCATACACCAACAGATTACCCCAACTTGTATAACAGACTTTACCAAACAATACCATACCCAAACAGAATACCCTCAAAGTAAATAACAGTTCTTACCAAACAACAGCATACCTTGAAGGCAGTAACAGGCCTTACCAAACAACAATATGCCCCAACGGAATACCCTCGACTTACATAACACAGATTATCAAACAATACCATACACCAACAGATTACCCCCAACTTATATAACAGACTTTACCAAACAATACCATACCCAAACAGAATACCCTCAAAGTAAATAACAGTTCTTACCAAACAACAGCATATCCCGAGAGTAAATAACTGCTATAACCAAACAAAAACATATTCGTCACTTGAATAATAATTCACACTTTTGAAATGCCTTAATAACAAGGTTTATTTGTTTATTGTTTGACCAATCATTTTACAGTAGAAAGTAAACTTAATGTTTGTTACTTGAAAACATTTTGTTGGTTTTCGTTACTGTCGGTTTGTTCTTGCTTCACTGTCCCCTGTTAGTTAAAGAAAATCCCATAAAGGCGACTTCTAATCAAAATTACGACGTTTACTGCAAATGGATAAAACCAGATATGTTGGCAGTGACTTAGAGATATAAAGGTAACTATAGTGTTAGGCTAAGCTACTGTAAAGAACTCTGACAGTTTCATGAAATTAGTTTTTATTAAAATTTCAGTTGTTTATATAATACTTATTGGGTGCATGGTCTATTTATCTATCTATCTACATTGTTGGGTGCATGGTCTATTTATCTATCTATCTACATTGTTGGGTACATAGTATATTTATCTATCTATCTACATTGTTGGGTGCATGGTCTATTTAGCTAGCTCCCTCCATTGTTGGGTGCATGGTCTATTTATCTTTCTATCTACATTGTTGAGTGCATGGTCTATTTATCTATCTATCTACATTGTTGGATGCATGGTCTATTTATCTATCTATCTACATTGTTGGGTACATAGTATATTTATCTTTCTATCTACATTGTTGAGTGCATGGTCTATTTATCTATCTATCTACATTGTTGGGTACATAGTATATTTATCTATCTATCTATCTATCTACATTGTTGGAT